TTTGATATTATCTTAGTCAAAATCATATATAAATTCCAATCTATGTTCAGTAATTACGAAGTAAAAATAAGAGAGAATATATTAACAATCGGTTTTTCACAGTACATGTCAAAACGGTCTCAGAAAGTTTCATTCCAAGGTATTGCATCAAACATCAATCGAAAAACAGCATTTTCCTGTTTCCATCCTCAATATCTTAAACAGATTTATTAAAAGGAGAAAAGATCAATTTGATAATGTCAAATCAAGATGTGATCTATAAAATTTCATGCCAAGATTGTGAGGCCAAGCATACTGGATAAATCAAACCACGATTTCAAATCAGAGTCAACAAACATCTGTCCGATATCAATAAAAAAACAGGATTTTCGTCGGTCATTTCAGATCACATTAATCACAGGCATGATTTCAAGTGGAACGAAGTAGCGATTTTAGGCAGAGAACCTTCGTATAATAAACAATTAATTTCTGATATGGTTTTACATAAAAAAAAAACAAGTCACAAGGATTGAATAAAAAAGCGACACGGAATCATTATCAGATACATATCTTTCCATCCTTCAGTCATTATCCCCTTCCTAATGTTCTTATCCTCACTAATTTTTTTCTCTCTTTCCATTTCACATATTTTCTCCTCTATTCTTCACATATTATTGTTAACGTTTTCATACATTACATGTACATAGCAAAACTGCTAAAAATATTAAATTACACAATTGTTATAAAATACATTTTACATAACAATGAACGGCCACCAATTCAGGTATTCAGCTTTAATTGTTTAATTTACAATTACATAGGTTTTAACTTTAATAGTTTTATTTTTAGACTTGTAATTGTCACTGGCCTTAAATTCAATTTTATTATTAAAACGTACTTATCAATTTCTTAGATATTTTTATTCTGCTTACATAGGGATTATAATAGATTTAATTGATAGAATTCTTCTTTTAGCCCATCCAAGATTTCATTCAAAAAATTTTTATGAAGTCATTAAAATTATTTTGAAAAATGGATATCCAGCATTAATTTTTTCCAATATCAGAAAGAGAAAAGTTCATGAAAAGTTTGCACAGATAAATAGTGGTGTCACTATTTCACAGAAATCTAAAAATATTCAGATCAAAGATCAAGAAAGACTACGATACTTATCTCATTTATTAGTAATATATCTGAGAAAATGAAATATTTTTTTAAGAATAATTCGATTAAAATAAATTATAATCACAACAATCCATCTCTCAAAAGCTTTTTATTTTTATTTGATGTATTTCATTAGAGCCTATATAATTTTTATTGTTTAAAATAAAATAAAGAGATGATATTGAAACAATATATTAAGTAATTAATCAATTTAATTTATTTTATTTTATTTTTAACGATAACAATAAGTTATACTCTTTTGAATATTTGACTTCTGTCATAGACTATATAAATAGTTTACAAATTACAGTTTATTTATGTATATATTTTTTCAATACAGCTTTTTTTAAATTATGGGTGTTTTTTTATCTAATGCTAGTATTATATTTTTGGTTCAGTATTATTGCTTTTAGGTGACATCAGAAAGACCAAAATTGAATCTCAAGTCTTTACGAAATCAAGAATATCGGGATACTGAAAATGTATACAACACGACAGATTCTCAAATTTCTGCATCCTCTAAAAGTTCCAAGAATTCTCAGAAAGAGCCAAAGATGGAAACTCACATTGAAAGTTAGCTAAGATTAATCAGTCAGTTACACTCTCTTTTTTTTAAGAACTCTTATTTTTATAAATACATTCATTTATAATATTTATATAGAAGGAAACGAAAAGCAAGTGGAAAAATTGAAACCAAACACGAATACTAAAAAACCGAGAGCAGTCGTGGATTTGCAGATGATGAAATTGGAATTAAGTCAATTAGAAGATCCTCCTATGACACCACGGGAGAAGGAATTATCTTCTAACCGACTGCAGTATGAATTCTTTGACATTCCCTGTGAAGAGCTGGCACAGCGGTTGTTAGGTACATAGAATTTATTTTTTTAATAATATTGCACATTATATTTATTAAAAATTTATTTTTATTTTTAAAAAATTATGTGACGTTACTTAAAAAATATCCTATATCTTCCTTTCTATTATTCTGTTTTATCATATTGCTACAATATAAACCATAGTCGTTAAAAAAAAAATTTATCCTTTTCTGGATAGGAAAAATACTTGTAAGACATCTCGAGAATGGAACTATCCTCAAGGGTAGAATTGTAGAGACCGAAGGATATTTAGGTGCGATTGATAAAGCTTCACATTCTTACCAAAACAGAGTTACACCTCGCAACTTGCCAATGTACATGTCACCAGGAACTATTTATATTTACATGACATATGGCATGTATCATTGCTTCAATATCTCTAGCAAAGGTGAGTAAAAAATCGATTTATTTCATTACTTCTATATATGAAGAATTAAAATACATCTTACTTCCACTAACGTTCAATCGTTGAAATAATAAAAGCCATAAAAATAATATCAAAGCAAAAGATACTCTCCCCTAATTTATAAATAGCAAAAGCATATAGGAAGATTATAATAAATCTGTTTAGAGAAAGGATATCGCGTTTTCACAATTTCGAAATATATTTTTAGTTGAAAAAAATCACCAATTGATATGTTAGTGTTATTATTTAGTATTACAATACTAAATAACGTTTAGAAGGGAATGCGCATGTATTAATCAAAGCGGTGGAACCGCTAATGGGCCTCGAGTATATGCTAAAAAATATGCGGTGGAAAGATAATGGAAGAGAAAAACAAACCGCGAAATTTGCGACGCACCTAAAGCAATACAAACTTTGCAATAATCCCTTCAAGATTTGCGATGCCTTTGCGATCGACCAAAACTCTTTCGACCGGAAATTCGCTTATGCGTGTAATAATTTGTGGTTCGAGAGCCAACCTTTTGTAAGACCTCCTACTATAGTAGCCATACCATCTAAAAATCTTAAACCGGACGATAATTATGTTATAAAGACACGATATTACGTGCTGGGAAGCGCCAGCGTCGATGAAAAGAATTCTGAATGCGAGAAACTCGCTTACATTGCACAATAAGTTGGACTTTATGGCCCGTATTTAGAACGCGCTTACAATGATGTTAGCACATTAACATGCTATAATTTATTATGCATATTATAAAATATGCATATCTTATAAAATTTCAGAGATAAAAGCGCATTCTGAATACAGGCCTATAAATACAAAAGTACACTTGCTATATTTAAGTGTATATGCATAATAAATTTCAAGTTTTTCCTTGTCTACAATAATATATTCTTAAAAATTAAAAGATTCCAATTATTAAAGAATTCGTGAAATTATGAATTTTAATAATCTTAATGTGCGCGTTTAGTAGATTTTTAAAAATATTTTAATAAATATTGAATACAAAAGAGTTCTCCTTATATTGACAAATATGTATTTAAGAAAGAATTAATTGTTAAAGAATTAAATAAATATTTAATCAAATTAATAATTATAGTTATGAATGTTTGATTTTTCGTATTATTTTGAATTACATCATTAATCTAAAATCATAAATTTTTAATTCCATAATGTGCGCGTTTAACAGATTTCAAAATGTTGGAAGTTTAGGATCGGAAACTAATTTTATACCGAATTCGGTTGAACACACCAGTACGCATTAGAAAGGTGTCTCTAGTGCGCACTGATGCATATTAAAGTTGTTATACATGGAAAAAATATATTTTACATAAGCCTAGAAGTATATTCTTAAATAGAAATTTAGAAGATTCCTTTACATCGAAAGATGTTCACCTCATTATTGGTAAGGTGATGGATGCGCGGTGCTGGTGCGAGCTGTCGATCCCATAGAAGGCATGGAGTACATGGCTTATCAGCGTAACACTTCGAAAAAGCCGAGGAAAGCTGATCTAAAACCGCATGAACTATGCAATGGTCCTTCGAAGCTCTGTATGGCGTATCAGCTTAACAAGCAGCACAGCAGGTACTCTCTTTGTACATGGAAGAATTTATGGATCGAGGACGATCGTGCGTTAGGAGATATTAAAATTGTAAAATCCGCCAGGATTGGAATCGATAGCTGCGGTCCAGAATGGGCCAACAAGCCTTTACGTTATTACATTTATGACAATAAGTCTGTTAGCAAGAGAAACAAAAAAGCAGAGATGGAAATTGTTTAATAGCTCGAAGTTAATCATTTTATCAAGTCCAATCTGCATGCTTCCACATAAAAAGAAAAAAAATTATATATATACATATATAAACATTTTTTATAAATTTTATATACAAAAAGCAATAATCAGTCATTTGAATAAAATAGAGTTATCATCACGAATCAACACAACATAGTATTCTATTTTCACTTTTTTTTAATGATAAAATGCTAGTGGTTTCTCAATTTCTTAACATAAAAGATTTATAGTTTAAGCTAATAATCCATCCATTATTTATTTATACAAAAGCATAATAATGCTGACAAAAATTGATTATGAATATTGACATAATTATTTAACTTGTGGAGCAACAACTAATTCTTCGAAAAAATTTAAAGATGAAATTGTCAAAAAACTGTTAAATGTATCTTATGAGGAAGACATTAGTGTTAAGTAAGATTTCAATTCAAAATGTATACATTTATTTCTGGCATATGAATAAATTATTCGATTATATTTTAACGAGTTGATTAAATTAATCGAATTTATTACAATGATTGGATCCATATTATAAATATTAAGTTTCTTCTATTATAAAATAATAAAAAATTATATATACATAAATACAATTTGAATACAATTATATATTATATTATACATATAGACTCCAAATGGTAATCCTAATAATTAGATAATTATAATAATTTTCCTAATATTGCAAGCCTGAAAAATCTGAAAATAAGGTTCAACATATCATAATATTTGTTTTCAATTAATTCATTAAAAAAAATTGATTGTAGCTATAAAAAAATTAATAAAATTTCAAGTCTCAAAAATTTAATGTTGAGAGTATAATAATTTATGCTTAACCAAGCTATTATCAATTATCATGTATAGATATATATGTATACAGAGCGCAATTAATCTCTTAAAAATAAAAGAGATAAGCGTACTCTATCACATTTTCAGTGAGAAATTTTCATTACGTCCATTCCTTCATTACGCGTTCATAATCCTCTTCCTCAATAAATGGTTTATCTATTGATCTGCGAAGTATAACCAATCATTATACCGATCATTTATTAAGATCCAAAAAATATTGCAATTTCAATTTTTTAAGAATATGTCACTCATACAATACTTGCCAAAAATGTAAATTAAAATTTGAAATAAACAAATAAACTTTATTTATTTATTTATTACAGAAGAATTAATCTCTGTAATATAATAAAACTTTGCATAAATTTTAAAATATTTATCCAAAAATTGAAAAGTTGAAATATTATACAAATGAAAAATATAATAGCAAATAAAGTAAATAAATTATAAAAATGTATTATTAAAAGAACGATATTCACACAATTGTTTCTGTACATAATTCTTTCATTTATATATGAAAGTATAAATATTAACACATTTCAATTTTAATTTACCTTTTGGCAAGGAGATACGGGCGATACATTCTTAAGCTTTAAATTTTAGAATTTGGTAACTAGAATTTTTTAACTGCTGAACTACTAAACTTACTCTATCATAAGTTCTCCACAGTAGAGACACTCTGAAGCGACCAGCTCATCGATATCAGTCTTGATTTTGTCTCTCGTGGACAATGACACAGAGGTCGTCGAGGTGGTATCTTCGGGCCGATTTGAAATAGCTGTAAACTGTCGCTGAAGATCTGCTAATTTTGTCCTCTGATCCATGGATAGCATCGGCGTTAACGCTGCCACTAAACAATCGCTGTGAAATTTATGACCGCAGGGAAATACATAGAAAGGTCTCAGCAACAGTTGCACTTCACATGTATTACACGTGTCTCGCGCATGCACAAAAGTGCATCTGAAAAAAAATTCATAATTAATTTTCACTTGTTGGCTGCGTTCAGCAGAGAAAGCTTTGCAACTGTTATAAAATTCTTCAATATGATGATTCTTGCTTTTGATCCCTTAAATTCTATAAATCCAAATGTATAAATCAATCATATGAAGAATTTTACAACAATTGCAAAGTTGCGTTTTCTGCTGAACACAGCCGATGATTTTTCAAAATATTGATTTTCTCATTCAGAAATAATTCAATCAATGTATAGCTATATAAAGAAGAAATCTTTACAACGCAGATTGTAGAAATGCAATATTAAAAATAGTAGAAGTAGTGCTCTATCATCATCAGTACCTAGTTCTGAAGGCTTGAATGTCCTTCCGTATTAGCTCTGCTGCTTTCGTAGCTTCCTGCATCTCTTCCTTAAGATCTTGAATATGCTGATTGTATTCCTATTACATATAGGAGAGAATTTATTAAATAAATATTTATAAATTTAATTTATATATTTTTTAGAATTTTCTTATAAATATCTTATTTTTAAATTTCATAATCTTTTTGTAAAATTATAAAATAATTATAAAATAATTATTATAAAATAATATTTATATACTTATTATAAAATAATTATTAAACACATAGATAATATAAAAAATACAAAATTAGATATTCTTATTAGATAAAAAAAGTTCAGAATTTAATTATAAATTCAGAAATAGTTTTAGAGTTTATACCTGCAGGGAATTGCAAATAGCTTCTTTGAAATGATCAATCGTGACGAAATCGGAGAAAAAGGGTAAAATATCTTCTATCCTAACTAAATCGCAGTGTTGCAAAAATTCCATTGCTTGCTGTATGTCGTCCTTTTCTCGTACCACATGCTCCGCTGCACATACAACAAAAATATATATTTTAAAATAATCTAGAATAGGCCTGTTCAATTTGAGCTCCGGAGCCAAAACGCATAGCCATCGACGCAAAAAAATTCAATATGGGTAAGATTTCGGGGACTGTAAAGTGTTGATAAGCGTCACTCAGAAGCGTTATCACAAATTTAAATTGAAATCTTACACTGAATTTTTTTACATCGGCTTTGCGTTTTAGCTCCGGAGCTGAAATTGAACAGGCCTGATCTAGAATAACACAGATTTCAAAGTATAAGTCACATACGAAGATCGACTATTCTATTCAACTTAATATTATTGATTAAAAAATTGTCCTGATTTTTACCTATCTTCAACCATAGTTTTTTCCTCAGCTCGTCATCATGATCAGATGGCATAGCAGCAATCTGCTTGGCAAGCTCTACACTGATTGTAAGCGCAAGATCTACAGCAGTGATCCACAGACCGAGTAAAGCCGATAATTGCACACAGGCTTCTGTCAAGCCTACCTCTTGACACAATCGCAGCGCGTAATGCACATCATAGTGCACCATGCTGATATCTTGACCTGAAAGTAACAATAAATCATTTCATTTCGAACGATAATAAATCAAAGTTAATAAATCAACAAATTACAATTCATAACCAGAGTAAATTAATTTTCTAATAAAAATACAGCAAGATATTTACCTTGAGAGCTTATATATCGCATTACTTCATCCTGCTTGTAACGTGCATACAGGGACAAAAGAAAATTGTGAATTGCTTGCTCTTGTGAACCCTGTTTGTATACGCAAAACTCCAAATATTTAATAATTTCTTTCGCCTACAAAAAATAAGAAATTATTGACGGAGTTACTTAAGTATAATTAGAAGAAATAATAATTTTTACATATTACTTTTTAATGTAAATATTAATTAACTGTTATTCTTAATTGCATAATTATAATTAGATAATTATGATAATTATATATATATAATGAGATAATAATTATTAATTTGTTCTCTTTTTCTCTCTCTCTCTCTCTTCCTTACGTGTTTCTCGTCACTGTTGCATGAGACCAAAGCTGGCAGAAGCTTTGCTGGCTTCAGTGAAGATCCTTGTGAAATCAAGACAGCCACCGTAGGCCGTGGCAACTCTTGTAACAGTATGCCGGCGAATTGATAAAAAAGATCTTTATTATTCTGACTTTTAAGCACCCCTAGCGCCTCTAAATAGTTATTTTTATATAGATGTTGACGAATCACTTCCTCATAATTGCAGTGCATTATTGTCAGACGTATCAGATTATCTTTGTCACCGTGACTGGCCATTAAGTCGTATATTGTGCTGCGATTTCTCCTGATACATTCCTGCATCCAAAGTTCCAGTTAGCATTTCTTCAATTTAAATTTATGATAACTCGGTTTAATTTGATAGTTAAAAAAAGAACGAAAATAAGCAATATTTATTAAATATAAGATCTTAATTATATTAGGTGTTGGAATTAATTCGTAGCGTTTTACAAGTGATGGGAAGTACTTTCATTAATGTATTTTTTAATGCTCATGTGAAATAAATAACATTCTTTCATTAAAAACGCTACGAATTAATTCCAACACCTAATATATATGTATGTGTGTGTGCGTGTGTGTGTGTGTGTGTGCGCGCGCACGTGCACACACACACACACACACACACACACACATATATATATATATTAATTTGAAGGGATAAATTTAGAGTTATAAACAACATAAAATGTCAAAAACAATAAAAAATGTTAAAAATATCAAAAATTGATTAAAGTTTATTTTTATATTTATAATTAAAGAAAACTTTCAAAATGCTCATCTTTTTATTCGTGCTATACACTGTTAGAAATGTAAGCACGAACTTCCTTTACATGTAAATGAGCTCGTGGTTATGAACGAAATTAAAAGTAATGAATGATTTAACTGAAAATTATTTACAGTACTTAAAGTTACTTAAATAAAATGAACTACTGCAGTAGTTACTTAAATATATGAAATTTAATGTACTTCTAATAAAATTTTATGAAAAGTACATTAAATTTCATAAATTTTTATTATTAGAAATACATTAAATTTTATGTACATGTACACAAATATATTTTTTAGTTATAAATACATTAAATTTAATGTAATGTTATGAAATTAAATTCAAATTGTGTAACTTAAAAGTTAATAAAATTTAAGAACATTTCTAACAGTGTATATATACTGGATGGTCCAAATCAAAAAGAGCCAGCATGTACGCACTGTAATGATTATGAAAAACTGAATCGAAAAATCCTCTATAGTTCTAGTTAATTTAGATTACACACACTACTTTTATTTTTTTTAAATACCTCGACTTTTGGAATAATGAGGAAGCTGTCAAACTGCTTCTGCAATTCCGTGTACTGCATATCATGAAGATAGGATGTGTTGCTACTGCGGAGAGCTCCCATTTGATTCATAAATAGCTCAGTCACCCAAATGACAATCATTGTTATTTGCGTCTTGTCTTGCATCTTCAAGCCATCGAGTTTCTTGACAACAAATAATCAGATTCATTTTAGAGTAAATAACTATTAATACAATTTTAAACTAAAACAAGAAAATTGAATTTTTTAAATTTGAAACATTCATAAATGTAAAAGTAGGAAAAAAATTCAATTGGAATTATATGACAAATAAATTTTAAATTATACATAAAATAATTTTTTTCTATAATATTCATTTGTAATCATTGCAATTAATATAAATATTCATCAATTTAATTTTATGATTGTTTATTGTAAAACAAATGCTCTTATACTTTACCTTACGTAAGAATGTTTTCAATGCTTCGATTTGCCATTCCTGCAAAAATTTCAATGAAATTTCCTCGAAAGATGAATGAGTATCAGCATATATTAGAGCGCTCTTTTCGTATCTGCAAAATCATGTTCAAAATATTATAAGAAAAAACAAACCAAATAAATAATTATATTAGATATCAATATAAATCAAAACAAATGATCTTATTTTCGATTAAAATGAATATATAATGAATATTTTTGTATATATATTTATATGCAAATTTTTGCAAATACATTTTTCATTTCTATAAATTGCAAGCCGACTTGTTGGATTTGAAACGCAATTACAAATTAAAACTAAAATATTAATATCACAAATTCAATTGATCGTCAATTTAATAACGATGCTATAATAAGCATCTTAAAACCTGCAAAGAACATGTTACAAAAAATACCACACCTTAATTAGATAAAAGTAGACGAAATTTGAAAAAAAAAAGAATACTTATACATAAAACATTTATACATACGCAAGTACGAGTATACTTACTCTTTATTCTTGAAGAGCATTTCCGCTTGTTTCACGAGCACTTGGTCGATGTGCGCCGGATTATCTTTGCAATATTGCTTAGCCAGCTCAAATTCGCCTTTATCGATATATACCTGAGCGAAAGATCATTATTTTGTCGCTATTGTCACTTTGAAAATATTAAATCCTTTTTATTTTTACCTGCCAAACATTTCTATCTTCTTTCGTTACTTTATACTTGAAAACAGCTCGCTCGCTATAAGCCCAAATCGATCTTGTCGCCGGATCTTTGGTAATGCCGATTAATTTACCGACTGCCTAAACATCATTAAATCACATTTGCGTGATATATATTTAATATCTCGCGAAAAGATTCAACCATCACTACTATCAGTGAATTCTTAAAAGCTCTAATAAATTGATTGTATTTAGATTATTTAAAATAGACAAAAATAGGTCAGTGAGAGTATAAACGCAGGTCATAAGGCGCACAAACACACTATTATTTATAACTATGCTATACACATGCATTCTCTTTCAACTCTTTTGATTCTTAGATGTTCTACTTGATGTTCGCATATATCATTTCATCCTTAGTCATTAAAGGTTAAACAAGAATGAAATAATGCACGCGACATTGCAAACGCAAGTGGAATACACCTGAATTATATTGTAATTATAACTGATCATCTCATAATAATAATAATAATAAAGCAAAAGTGCAAAAGAGAAGTATATTTATTAATATATACTATAATATATACTATATACATACGTCGTTATAAACATCTTCGAAAATCAATTCTTGATTTAGCAGTGATATACCCTTCACATGATCTGAATACAATAATAGCGCATGGAATTCCGTCAGCACAAAAGACAATGGTATCGAAGTGGTTTGCGGACCGTTACTGCCCATGAGACTCGTTTCTGGGCACGTCAACATCCGTTGGTTGATCAGCACATTGTTCGTGTCCGGTTTCGCGTCCACCTAAAACCGATCATCATGCATTCTTCATCTGGGTCAATGATTTTCAACGCGAGCCATATTAACTCCAGGAGAGGTCACCAACATTTCTAAGTAATCATGCGTAAAAAGAATAATATATTAGGAAATTATAAGATTTATAAATGAATTATTCAAACTTCCTTTATTTCTGTGATAGCAAAAGAATAAAAACGCATGAAGATAAGTGAATATAAAAGCAAAAAAAGGGACACATGTTTAGACTTACATATAGCATTAACATTTAAATTTTTAAAAATAACACCCTATTGTATACCTGAGCGTACAGGATACCAGCTTCCGTCAGCCATCCAAAAGATTTTGGCAGGACGCCCAATGATGGATAATAAAATTGCATCTTTGAATATGATAAAGAATTTATTACTTCGTTGAAGGTCTCTGCAATTTAATATATTTATTTATTCAAATGTGCTGTTTTTTAAATTTCTTTACTAAACAATTCTTTCGTTTGAAAAAAAATTATATTTTTATTTAATAGAACATTTTTATTATTTACTCTATTTTATTTATTATTAACTTTTTTTACATTTAAAAGGCTCAATTCTTTTGTGTAAGTACTTTAAGCGTTCAAAATGATTTATACAAAGTTTCATTGTGATTGTTTATTTAGTTATTCTGTTTTTTTTACTATTTTTCTAGTTATTTTTTTCTACTATTTTCAAATGCAGTATAAAACAATCTGTAATTTTTTCATAATTAAATGTTTTCAAAACATGTTCAATATATCCTTAAAGAATATTAAATTATAATGTGCTGACTGAAAATGCGGAAATCATACATTTATATATATTTTTCTCTTTACCTTGTGCATTCAAATATCTGTAGAACACTTGTTGCAAGAGAGGCTTCTCTTCGGGATTGCCAATGGCGCCGATATATTGATAAATGCGCATAAGAGTAGTTACGATGATCACGTATTTATCCGAATTAGGAATTTTGTGGAATTCTATTCCAGTGATTGGAGGTTTGCTATTTTTTCCTATATCAAATACCTAAAATCATTTGTAAACAAAAACATTTCATACTATTTCAGATCAAACATAGATTATCTAAATAATTATTAAAAATATGAATAAGTAGAATATATTTGTTTATTTCGACTATATAAGATCACTGCATAAATTTTTAACTTTTACCATACAAAAATAACTTTTTTAGCATGCACACTTTTTTAATGATTTGATAATAAATGATAACGCCAATAAAAATATTTTTCTAATCAAATTTATTTAAAAGAAAGGCTACGAGTCAACGCTGAGTTTTTTATGTAAATTTATTATAAATTAATTGAATTTATTTAATGTAATTATATTTTTTCTAATTACTTATTTGTAATATTAAAAAATCTGAATTTATCATATTTATAGAATAATATGTATATATAAATATTTATATAAAAAAAAATATACGAACTTACCAATCCTCCTGCCTCTTTTGAACCATAAAGAGGCAGATAATTTGGAAGCTTTGTTAAAAATGAATAGCGCAATGGTGAAAAGGTGTTATAGGTGAATAAATAAAATGATAGCCCTAGCAGTACATAAGTAATTAATACCTGACGCCAATACTGCTCTAAACTCGTATTAAAAATCTTGTCGGTCTCCAAGCCAATCTCTGTCTCAAAAATCAGTCCCTTCGAAGTACCCAGTAAAATGGGACCGGTGCTCGTTTCTGAAGCATTAGAAAAATTCCAACCCACTGCGGTGATTTCATGGCCCTTGAACTTTCCAGCCTGCTTGAGTTTTGTTGTCTTTCTATATAAATAGAATAATTCTGGAAGTGGATTCTCTCCGTGCTTTGATACCAGAGTTATCAACAAGTGATGACCCAATGGATCCAAAAACAAGCCGGACATTTTCATGCTTAGTGCATATTTGGATATGTCAATTTCTGCAAATAAAAATTTAATATTTACGTTATATTAAATGTAAACAGCTCTAAATGATGAATTAATTTCAAGTAAATATGGAAAGTATGTAATTTAACATATACTTAATATAATAAAACATAATATAATAAAACATATAATAAAACACAAAACTATTTATAGTCTTTTTATTAATATAATTAAAATAATAATTTCTTAATATAATTTGTCAATAAAAATAATTCATATATGTATTTATAAGTTAAACAATTTAAAAGGAAAATTTTATTATACACATTATTATAATTATAGTAAAATATAATTGTCTAATTCATTTTTAGTTATTTTTTATCAGTTAAAAAAAATAAATAAATGTCAACATACATATTAGCAAAATATTTGTATTGAAAAAAATTTTATTTATATATATAATTACAATAAATGCAAGTAATTGCTTACCTTCAGTTTTATCAGGTTGTTTCATGTCAATGCGCAACAAAATATTGTTAGCCATAGCTATTACAATTGTGTTACTGCTAACAACTAAATGAAGAATTTTGTCCGATGGCAGAAAGTTGACTTTTTGCTTAGTGAATATCGGTCCATCATCTTGTAGCTTCATTTGAATAAAACCAGCTGTGCTCTATAAAACAATGTTACAATTGTAGCAACTTGATTATGTATCTCGTTAATTGATGTCAGGTAACAAACATACAATATCCGGACGAATTGGTGGTACCAGCACTTGCTTGGAACGCTGAGAAGCTTGCTCGTACTGGTCAAACATTGATGTCATCTTGATTGTAGATCTATGTACATTATGTTAAAATAATACTTTAAAAATATTAAAATATAGAACAAACAAGATGTTTCTATTAAATGTTAACATTTATATACATATATATAGTTATATATATATATATATATTATATATATATATATATATATATACACATACACAACACACACCAATAAATATCATAATAGCAAATTAATATGAAATGAGTATTATAGAATAGATTCTTTAACAAGAAAGGAATTTTAACACTCACTTACTGATTTTGTTTCGAAGTAAATAAGGTATGTGAAGAAGGCTGATATGAGCCTAAAAACTCTTGCGTCTTTTAAATAAATATAATCGACTGTTTTGCGCCATCATAAAAGTTTTTAAAGTGAGGTAATTATTTAATTGCGCTACCTCACCTTCGATCTTAATAAAATTAGGCTTATTCACCGCGTTTTTACACAAAATGCACAAAACAGAGACTGTAAAAGGCGATAAATTGATTGGCTACCGTGTCGGAGCAAACAATAGGTTTGTTTGCGTTGCTTGAAATACCTCAAAAATATTTGCACTTAAAAAGGGATAAATATATATATTCAGGCGTTGAAAAGAGAGAGAACGACGATGTTAAGTTCAAAAAGTGCAAGGATGCGAACAGACAGAATAGGGCCTAGTTTATATCGTGCACTTGATAGTAACTTTCTATTAAGCCAGTTTACATCGCGTATTTGATATGCGTATTAACTTTCTATTAAATTGTTTTAATTTCAGTAATATATTTTAATTTTAGCAATGTATTTGCGACAAGAGTCATCATGTGATCTTTTTTGTCGCTGAAAGGCCAGTTTGAGCGGCTCGTAAAATACAACTTTAAGTGACATCTCCAAAACATTTTGGAGATTTTAAGCGAACAGACTTTACCCCTTCCATCAGTTCTACCAGAGAAAAACCAGAGATTCCACCATACTATTATAGTAGATATGTACATACAGCGATGATTTGTGCTTATTATGTGTATATTTAGGAAAATTATATCAAATAATAACATTTTCCACAATATTTTAGCTAGACAATTTACATTTTTATTACGAATAAAACATATACGATATATCCAACGTCATAACTTTGGCGTTCAAAATCAGGTCGCACAAATGTAATCTAAAAGTTTATTATTGACTTGTTTACATTCAGCTTGATAGGAATAAGATAACTCTGAACGTATAAATGTGACTCATTCAAGTAGGAGTTACAATAGAGTGTTACTAAGTCGAAGTTAAGAACCATATAAATGTATTAATTAAATGATAAAAGTATTTAACATTATCTCGAACATTCCTTTCTATGCATCATCTAATTGCTTTTGTCACACCTTGACATGCTGCAAGCGATTTCTCTAGAGCCTCTGCAAAATTTTCTAAGTTTATCGGATAATACAGTGATTCATACTGATCAACATTGATCCATAAATCTGGTTGATGATCATATATGCATTATGGAAAAGCAAAGACAGGTAAAACGGATGGGCCTCCGTTATTTTCCTTTTCTTCATAATGATATCAGATTATAATTGTGTGTGGCAGTAATTATACATTAATTACATATATTTATTTATATAATATATTTTTCTTATTTATATCTATAATTAATGTATATATGTATGTACTATACATATCCTATTTAACATTTCCTTAAATAATTAAAAAAAATAAAGTTAATAGTAATATATTTCAGAGCGAATTATATATAATATATCTTTAAAGAATTGTTGCGTT